TATATATAATCGATTTATACTCTCGTAAAGTCGTATTTAATAATTAATTAATTAATTAATAGAGGATGTACGAACGGTGTAAGAAAGATTTATCGTGTGTTATCCTTTTGTTTCTCCTTTACCCCTATCTCTGCCTCTTTCCTCATTTCTTCTTGCTCTCCTTTGTTTCTCTCTGCTCCGAACGAAGGTGTTGAATCCGACGAAATAAGTGTTCGATCGCAGATCACCTAAGTTCTCCGTGACTTTAACAATGTCCGCCGTGATGTCTACCTCACTCTCGTCGCTGCGCCGCGACTTCCGCTTCTTCATCCTCTTCCGCCATTTTGTCTCTTCGCGTTCGTCCTTTAGTCGTCGACGAACGCCGGAAGTGCATCGATCCTTTCATACGCGGCCAACGTGCACCTGGCTACGCGAACGGGGCCACTCATAGCCGCCGGAGATCGGCAATCGTCTTCCTCTTCTTTCGTCTTCAGCTTCTTCCACACGCTTTCGATCCTCGCGCGCAACGCTTCCGCTTCGTTCGGCTATTCTTCGTGTTTCAGTGACTCGTGTTCGACGTAGCCCGGCGACGAGCACTCGGGGACTCGAGATCGATTGGTAAAATTAAACGCACGCGACCTGGCGTGGCGCGCGTCGCGGCGCCTGACTCGCGCGTCGCGCCAGCCGCGAAACTGCCTTACGACGATGAGGTAACAACGTTTAAACATCGCTCTTCTCTCCCTCTCGGACTACCGCGCGTAATCTCCGTGTGTTTGCACGCGTGTATACGCGAGCGTATGCACCGATCCGAATAATCCTCTCGAGCGGGCGGATTCGCTGTCGCCGCTTGCCGATCTTGCCGATCGGGCCTGTGCGTCGAGCCTACTCGCCTCGAGCATACCCTCCACGCTCCATAGCGCGCGCACCGTATCGTTTATAATCGTTACATTACTACTAACAGTTTTATAACTTTATCATCGCCATCTGTTTGCACTAATCACGCAAGAATTACGATCTCGAAACAATTTTTTAAATAACTCTATCCCATATATATTTATACATATATATATATTACTCCTCGCGAATTAAATAGAAAGAACGAATGTCGTCGAGCATTCGGGAAATTATCAACGATACAGCAGGCACGCCTCGAGCATGTTCGAACGTGTGTATTCGTATTCGTGTGTACAAGAGAGAGCGCGCGCGCGAATCTACATGGATATCCCGGTGTGTCGTCGTAGCGAGAGACGAGAACGAAAATTAGAAGAAAAAAGTTACAATGGAAGATTGTTCTGTACAGCGACTATCGTACGAACTAAATACGCGTGGATGCCGACGTGCCGGCGCCATCTCCTTCGTCGATCGCGGCCATCTTCTTCCGCGCGCCCACTTCACGCGCCGTCCGTTCCTCCGTGCACCTTGCTGCGCTCCTGCTCCTTTCTTCACCTGGTTAAACGCGTCCTTCCCTTCCGACGATCACCGCTGGGCCTCCTCGACGCTCGGCGTCCGCGCCGTTGGGACGCCTTTCCGCTCCGCTCTACGTCTTTCTCCTCCGCCCTTCGCTCCTCGCTCTCCCATCTTAGATTTGCGTCTCAGACCCTGCAGGCTTTGGATCTCAGCTTAGCATCTTCGTGGCTTGTTCTGTCTTTCTTCCCTCGTTTCTGGTACTTTCTAGGATGATGTTGCACCGATGGGTATCTTCAGTCGCGACTTTGAAGAGGTTGATGACATGGTCCTTTAAGTTCCGGATGTGGATGTTTCTCTTGTGAATGGGTTGTAAAGTTGAGTTAGCTTCAGACACGGTGATGTGTCTGCTTATTTTAGTCTTTTACGTTCAGTTCTCGCTGTTTCTCGTTTCCCTTTCAACCTTCTGCGACTTTCTGGCGTTTTAATAAGTTAAGGCGTATATATCTATGGCAACTTCCGCTCTCGTGATTATCCGAAGAAGGTATTTATACTACGTGCGTCACTCGAGGAATCTTGGGAAACTTCTGGTCACTATGCTCCACCGTGTCAAAGACAGAACAAATCTCTCTGTACTCTGCGTACCTCTTCTTTCTTCCTCATCTTCTTCCTCGAGGATCTTGCGCCGGAAATCGTCCCTGATCGAGGCCTAGACACGGGTCGCGGTGCTTCTTGGTAAGTACGCTGGGCAGGTACCGAAGCTAGGTGATAGATGCCGACGTATCCTGGCACTCTCGCGGGTTCCCTTCCATCTTGTCGCGCTTAATACTAACTATACGCGTGTGTTTATACGTGTGTGTGTTTGTGTGTGTGTGTGTGTAGGTGTGTATCGATAAATAAATAAATAGATAGACGGCCGTAATATGTATTTATCCATTTATCCGATGTCAGAAGTGTGGATTTCAGGTGTACGTGTGCTCCATCGTTCGTGTTCCATGCACGGTTCGGTTCGTTCGTTCCACGCGTCGAGGCGACGAGCGTCCACCGACACATCGGCCCTTCTACTTCCTCCCCTTGTTACTTTTCCCCGTGCTGTCGATTTACTTGTGATTGTAGGTGAACGGCGACGGGCCTGTGACCGCGCTTCGATGGAAATGCACGTTCTGCCATTTGTTGTCCCTCTTGTGCCACACGCGGCTCTCCTCGCTCTGGTGGGTGTGCGCTACGCCTTGTCTGGAAAATACATCAATTGCGGGTTTTTAGCCTATCCAAGTCTTTGAATTTCGCGAGGTTTCGTACGATTTGTTAATATGCAAGCGATTCGAAGGAATTTTGAATTTTTATTATTTTCTAGATCCTAATATCGGATACTTTTGAGCGAATATTCTATTTTTGTGACTTTGGGAGACGTAGAACTGCGATACAGCGCAAATGTGAAATCGATTCGATGGGATTTCCAGAGATTTTACACGTGGAATTGCAGTCCATCTTCAACGTAGAAGTAATTTGCGAAAATTTGGAATTTTGATAATTTCGAATATCGAATAATTTTAGGTAGACATGGAATTGCAATCTATCGTAAACGTAGAAGTAATTTTAGCGAAAATTTGGAATTTCGATAATTTCCAATATCGAATAATTTTAGGTACACATGGAATTGCAATCTACCGTAAACGTAGAAGTAATTTTGGCGAAAATTTGGAGTTTTGATAATTTCGAATATCGAATAATTTTAGGTAGACATGGAATTGCAATCTATCGTAAACGTAGAAGTAATTTTGGCGAAAATTTGGAATTTTGATAATAACTTTAGGTAGACATGGAATTATAGTCTGTTATGAACGTAGTTAGTAAGTTGTATAGTAGTTGTATAGTAATTCTAACATTAATTAACCAATAACCTTAGTAATTCCGAATATTAGTTAATTCCAAGTAAATATGTTCCAGCGATCTAGGTACACACGGAACAGCGGCACGTCGCTGGAATAATTGAAGAATCCCGTTACCAAGGAAAATGAAGCTTCCCGGAATAATTACGATAATACGGCGAGCTGCACGAAACTTTCGTGATGATTATGCGAGATATATAAGACTCACTTGTCCATGTACTGTGTCAGCCTGACGTACGCGATGCACGCGGCGTCTTCGCCCAGCAGGTGCACGTGGGGGTTCAGGATCGTCGTGTTTACGGCTTTGCAGTTCTTCCCCAGGACTGCTTGAAGGTTTGGAAAGCAAAACGCTCGTTATTCGCGGATCTGCTATTCGTTCGCACACCGTTCAAGCTGTCTCAACGATAAGAAAGAAGGGAAACGGAAAGACAGGAAAAGAAACGAAGCAAGAGAGGATTCTATTACTAGCCGACTACTAGCAAACGGTCTACCAGCTTTCTACCATTCACACTTCGTGACACGCAGTTCAATCAATGAACGAAAAAATTCATAAGAAAGTATTCGTCGAATTATTCCGTTCTATTAACATTATTTCAACGCTGAACGGATGAAATACTCTCATCAACCGAATCTACATCGAATATCGAAATGAATACGATTTTCCCTTAAGTGATTGGAGAAACATCATCGAGCTTATGTTAAAAAAGCTTCTAATTTTTACCCTCGTTTAGCGATAAAAGCGTCAAGTATAATATTAAGACACCGAAATTCGTCGAAAGTCAAAATCCGTTCATTTTCTGAATTAAAATCGTCGGATAAAGGATACTTCATGCGTTCAGCGTTCGGGTTCGACATCAAGATAAAGAAAACGAATGAAAAGTGCAATAAGAAGCGGCATGGACGTTAATTCGGGCGACGAAAGCACCGATCGATCGGAGATCTGAACGCCTGGGCAAGAGACGCGCCGGGTTTAAGCCGCGTCCACACGAAGGCTTCGGGGCAAGAACTCGATTTACGTGGACGCGACACGGCATGCAGCAGTGGAATGGAACAAATCAGAACGTAGGTACAACGTAGACACAATGGTGCAGCGGCTGATCAGCGCGGTACGATTAACAGTGATGCAAATGAGTCATAATTACCATTATCAAAGTAAAATTTGTGGAAATCCATTCCCTCGACTAAATTACCTAGAGCCTCTGGCTCGAACGCAGTCAGATGTGGATCACAGATTTTCCTGCAAGCGTAAGAGGTATTAGAATCGACTGAACAGTTTGCTTCGATTTCAACGCAGTGAAAACATCCTCGCATCGTGACTCGATTGCCTAAATCGTATTTAGATCGGAATACCGATCCATAGATCGCGATCTTTCTCTCTTTGACACGTTCGAGAACGATTCCAATAACGATATGCGATTTATTTTCCGAATTTATGTGAATGCACACGTGCGAAACATATATGTACTCGCGATGATCTCTCTCTGTAACACGTTCACGAACATCACAGTCACGATACATAATTTATACCGAATTTCCGAATTTATTTCGAATTTTTATTTCGAATTTCAGATTTCTATTCAGGATTTTATCCTGACTTATTTTAACTTTCGCGTACGAAACGTGTATTCGCGAAAATTTAATTCGACGACGGGAAAGAATTTAAAAAGTTTGTTCTTCGTTGTGAGTGCTAATTAAGATCCAGTAGACCTAATTAGAATATATATCTAGCCTCTAAATGTGTCACACGTCAACTGTGTCCTACGCGAAATTCAGGACAGTGATTGTCATCGTGAATCATACGCGAATACATACGCGATACCGGAAGCGCACGTGTTAAGTCTATGCTACTATAATATTTCAAAGGAGTATTCAAAATCAGATATTAACACTAGATTTACAAAACCTGTCAATTTGACGGATAGGTTGCTCCAGTTATACGATGGTAACAGATTTAATTAACTTATATTAACCCTCTATGGGCCCGTGTAACTTTCAAGTTACATGCTAATGTATGGGTATTTTATTAAATACTGCATTCAACGTTATCGTCTTGATCACTCCAGTTCGCGCTTTTTCTTTTTTTATAATTACAATTATTTTTACAATACCTCCTGTGGTTCCATTTTTAAAAATTCTAATTTTTTTTCATTTACCGGTTATTCGATCGTGATAGGTTGGGTCCTCTATGGCCCCCTATGACCTTTTCTCCACAAGATGGCGTGGAAAATTATTTATTGCACATTATCTTGGCACAATAGTACAACCGTTGTTAATTCAAACTTTCAATATGAATTCGTTATAATAAAATTGTCAAAACATGCTTAATTTATTTATTGATATTTGTTGATTTTATGTTACATACAATTTTTATAGTCAAGAAAAATATATATTCGGTCCATAGAGGGTTGACTAATACCCTAATTATTTTTAAATTAAACTAATCGTTAAAAAAAGGAAAAGACACGTAGTTTCCTTTACCTGTAAATTTGACAGGTGTCCGTAGAAATAGGTATACAGCTAGCGTTCGTAAACCTAGCGTTAAATACCTGCCATACTAATTGCAATTTAAAATCGGCAATTTCTTTCCACGATGCAAGATAAAAGTACGTTGGAAAGCGGACTTAATACAAATGAAATATATCTCCGTAACCTCATAAATTTCAGCAATTTTTCCCGCGTAATAACTCTCTCCCCCGAAAACTTTTAATTCGAGCGCCTTAATAAATTCCCTTCCCCGAGTTCTCCGCGCTTTAATAAATCTCGCCGCGGTTCCGCCGGTCTGAGATCAACTTTTTCCCTCGGACAATCTCGCGTGGTAACAACCCTCCTTTTACTTTACCATCGAAATTCCTGTCCGTCATCGTGCCACTTACGTGTACGCCTCGAAATCGCCGGTGTTGATGCTCTCGATCAGCTGCTCGGTCATCTTGATGATCTCCTGACGGCGTGCTGGAATCGTGAACACGTTATCGATCAGTGGCAACGGCGCGATCGGCGCGCCCGATCGATCGACGAAATGGAAAAAAAAAATATATAAAAAAAGAGAGAAAATAAAATTAAAACGATCAGGGCCCATACCGACACATCGTACGGCACAACAGTCACATGCACGAATCTTTATCAACTTCTACGTCCTACGCCAAAGACTCTCTTATCAATTAATACGTATATATATATTATACATCGATGTGTCACCCATTGGAGTCGTCTCAAAAATCAAAACGTCACATTACCTTCGCGCGTACATCCAGCAACTCTTTCTTTCACTAGTCAAAAACATTCTACGCGATTCTAACGGACTCCAATGACACGATCCTCGAATGGCCCCGAGAGAACGATTAACAGCGAGTATCTCGTTGTTTTCTATTTAAAAAATTTTTTAAATCACGTTGAACAACTGGTTTTATGTTTTCCACACAGAGAACCGGCGCTGGAAGAATGGTAACTGGACGACAAAATTGCTGGAAAGACGGAAAACGGACCATTCGAGAATCTTACTTTCGTCGTTCACGCGAACCTCCACTTTCCACTTGACGAACACCGGCGCGAGGGAGAGTTTCGTCCCTGTGCCTGGATGCTGTGACAAGAGTCCTTCCTAGGGAATAAAAGAGCGACACCGGTGTAGTGCTGTCAAGTGGAAGCGATCGAGCTTGTCTCGTCCTCGCGCGCGTCGATCGGATCGGCAAACCCGGATCGCTGGATCCGATCGACGCGGCCGCGACGAGGATTTCGAGGCCCTGCGGAAATTGTCGGAACAAGTTCGACGTGCTCGTCGTGGGAAAAAATGGCGACTGTGGTTGTTCTCTCGTTGTTCACGACCGCTAGAAGCTTCTTGGATCCTCGAAGAGCAATTCCTCCGTGAGTTATTCCTCTTTCTTTCCTATTTCCTCGATTCTCTTATCGCTTTTATCTTCCCCTTTAATCTGTTTTAGCTTTTCTCCTTTCTCGGACGACTCGTCGCTTCGTGGTACTTATCTTTACCATTCCTCGTTCCCCGTTCACCCGCCCACGGGGCACGATAGTCCTCGCGAAGGAGAGCGGACTCCGTGCACAGGCTCGAGGGACGCCGCGCGGTTGGAAGGAATTTCCCGGGTAAATTTCACGGTCCCCGGATCTCTTTCGATAGGTCGGTATTCCCGTTCCGATTTCATCCCCGCCGATTTCGTCGCGGGTCGAATTTTGGACGAGAGCCAGGGCGAATTTCGCGCTTTACCCCGGCGCGACCACCACCGTCAGCGTAATCGCAGTGCCGTTAACTACCCTACTCGAGCACCACAGCGAGCGAGACAACAAATGTATAATACACGTTACGCAAAAATCGTGGCGAGGTGAAAAGTTCTACGCGTCCCGTGGAAAGCGTTCACGACCGTATCTTCTGCCGCGCTTAAGAGCGCCGATTTGCTTCGATAGAGAGAAAGAGATAGATATAGATATAGATATAGATAGAAAGAGAGATTTGAGTTGAGAGTGAGATAGGTTCTTCCGTTACCTGAACACTGGGAGTTCGTCGAGAGCTGGCTGCAGGTCTTGATAGGACACACGATTCTTATTTCTACAAGCAATATATATATAATATATACATACACATATTTATATATAGATACCCTTCTATTTTTTTTTTTTTTTTTTTTTTTTACCGAAGATTAAGGTCCGCGGGGACTACTTCCGGTGTCGTCGACGACGCTATTTAAGAATTGTTCCGGGATATCTTACGCCGGGTGAAAAAAAAAAAAATGGGGAAAATAATTTTTCAATCTAAACTATGACGAGATTCTCGTAGATTGGATTTTCCTGTTTCTCTTTTTATTTTTCTTTTTTTGGTCTTTTCCCACGTTTTTGGACTTTCAAGCGCTCCTCCCGGAAGTTGAGAGAAAAAGCAAAACGTCGCGGAGCTTAATCCCCGCGCAAGAGGATTAACCGTCTCCTCAGGTCCCATCTCGTCCTCGGAAGGCGTTTTCTCTTCTTTCCGCTCCTTCTTCCCCATGTCAGCCATTGCAACGCGCCTCACGGACTCCTCGATCCGTTCGCACGACCGATTTTCCCTTTAGTTAAGCTCCTTTCATCGACACTGGGTTACGCGACCACGACGTACCGATTTTTTCCTCTTTTCCTAAAATTCGTATCCTTTTACGGAAACGCGAGATCTCTGTCTCGTCGAAGAGACAAGTAGTCGATTCTAGCATTTAGTATCCTACAAACGATCGTTACATTTCGACGCACGATAAACGATTCCTCGATTCGACTTATAAACCGATTTCGTGGAATACGAATTTTCAATTGTCGCGTATCGGCGAAGATAAAAATTTTGAAAAATTTCCTGCGCCATGTTTTCGTTTTTATTCAAAATTATTCCGCGATATTCTCCGCGTGTTCAACGTCGACGTTAAAATAAAAATCATCGGGTTAAGGAGTAAAGAAAGAAAACGTGAAAACAAGAGTTCTAAGTAGTACAAGCTCGTCCATGGTCAGACGCGGTCGAATTCTGTTCGCTCTAAAATTCCACCTACACTTTCCACGGTTCTGTCAACGAACCACCCTGTACACGGTGCACGCAGGCATGTCTGCGACATGTGTACAAATCTTCTTGCACCTTGGAAACGCGGGAAACGAGATAGAGAAATGAAAAGAACGAGGCGTTGGACGAAGATAGAGTTTTTACAGCATCGTGGAAACGACGATAAAAGCATGTTGTCTCAAGTACGCATACCACATTACGCGAAGCGTTCAATAAAGACGTAGAAGCCTCGAATGATTTCGTGAGTCGCGCTTCCTACGCACGAATCCATTATAATTTATCAGCGACAATGCCAGCAAAATTGCTGCTCGTAAAAAAAAAAAAAGAAAAGAAAAATAGAAACAAATCCACTCGTCTACCAGCAGACTAGCTTAAAGTAACGTAATTAACTACGAAGCCTGTCCGATGATTCGTTTCGTTCTCATACAATACAACGTATCGGGTTTCACAAGTTTATTGGTACGTTCACAGTTTGCGCCTACACATGGATTACACGATGGATTTGCAGCGTGGACGACAGCCTATTCAATGTTTCTACGCGGATAAAATATCATTTCGACCTTCCTTTATCGATAGATCATTCTCCGATCATCAACTCCCCGAATTTTCACGATTCTGTAAAGTACAATTTTTGCAGAAAAATATCCTTCGAATTGTCTTCGAAATCTTCGTCTTTCTTTAAAGCATCGTCAATTTTGTGATTTCTTCATCGAGTCGAGTCATCGAGTATTGACAAATACACGTGGAGACAGTCGAGACTGAACAGACACTGTAACCACACACTTAATAGCTGCCATTGGCCGCCATTTTGTTAACAATTGACCAAAAAGGAAATTTTGTAACCACTTTGTGTCGTTAGCATCAAGTCTAGGAATCTGCGAAGTGTTTCATCAGTGTAGAAATTATTTTCATACTTAGAAAATAATTTCGAACCCCATAAAAGAATTAAGAAGATCGTGGCTACTAGAGGTCCACGAATTCAGAAGTAGATGGCGCTAGTTGAAAGTTGATGACTCTGCTCGATCTTCTATTTTATTAACGACTATACAGGTAAATTAGGTTCGAATAAAATTCGTCGATGACTCTTCTCGATGGTCCCAATGACAGCTTCTCACGCACGGAAATGATATTTTACTAGCGTCTGCTTGCGCGCTAAACTCTACCATACAGTATGCGGGACGAACAATGGGGGACGCACGGTGACAATCCGATCCGCGGGAATTCGGTATCGCATGCTCTGCCTCGTACAACGATTCTGCGAACGTTGGAGAATATAAAAGGTTGAGAACGTGGTCGAACTTCGAGATCGTTCGCTTTCTCGTCGGGGATTCCAGTCGTGTCACCTCCGACGCTGCTGTGTCCTCGCGACGGGCTCCTGGTCTGACCAAACTCGATACTTACTACTTGCGGACGCTGTCCAAAATAAAACTCTGACTACTCGCGACTGGGGTCCCGTGACACGACGAATGGATCGAAGCTGGTTTTATCTAGCCATTGTTATTTATTATAATTACCATGGTTACTAATTATCGATTATTTCGAATTTTTCTAGCTGGAAATAATGGAGATACTGAATTTCGATTGGACGATCTATCGCTTATGCGAGTGAAGAATCTATGGAAATAAATTTTCTCAGTGAACGTGTTAATATTGATATAATAATTTATAAACAATGGAGGATGATTTGGTAAAAAATGTACATTTAGAGGAAAATAGTATAATTCCGTCGTGTCACGGGTGTCTTCAGCCAACAGAGGTACCAAGAAAAGGGCTCAGGAGTCGGCCCGAGACTCGGTCTTCGACTCAAACAGCCAAGACACCCACAGTTAGGGTTAGTCTCCAGAAGGCAAAACAAAAGAGACATGCGGAGAGCATATTCGCGACACTGTGCGATCCTCGAACTGTCAAAAAGTCGATTCCTGGAATGTTCTCGTAAAAGGGGTTCGTGCCCTTCGTCTTCGATTCTTCGAGACGTGGAAGGTGTCAGAGAGGTCTGCTGTCTAGGACCAAGACAGAGGTCTACTCGTGGAAGAATAGAGCAACGGAAGCTCGAGGTTTCGCGCGGCGTCGCGAGGCTCGGAGCTTCACGACAACAAGCAACACCGTCTAAGCTTCGAGCAGGCGTCCTCGTCCATCTTATTTTCCGACTTCCCTGCGACCTTACCGGCGTTGGTGCTCTTCTTACCATCTTCCGGGTCGCAGCACTCGGCTTGACCAAGTGGCATGTATCCGGAGCCGGCCGCGCGTCGAATCTCCAGTCCTGATTTGTTTCGGTTTCGACACGTTTGTTTGTTTTTTTTCCGGAGTTTTGTATTTTTTTTTTTTTTTTTTTGGTTTCGTTCCCGATTCGTTTCGGAGTCGCATGCATTGGAATTCGAGGGCAGCATGCCAGCGACGCGTGCAACCGGAACATGCAGAGAAACACACGGGGAGAAGAGGGGTCATCGAACATCGTTTCGCAAAATTAAAGGGCGACCATAAGGTCGAGTTTCCTCTCTGGCCGAAGCGGAACGTGGCTGAGGTCGCGGTTGCTTTGGGTTAGAAACGGGGGCATGTTTAATGCATCGTTTTTTCATTTCTTTTTTTTTTTGAGCGAATTTGAGATAGGGAGTGATTTGGGTAGGTGAAGAATGATCTAAAAATGTTGGATATGTTGGTCTTGTGAGATGTTTCGTTGTATTTGAGGTAGTTTTTAGGGAATAGAATTTTGAGATATGTTCGAGGGGATTTTGAGTTGATTTGTAACGAATTTAAGATAATTCGGAGAATTTTGAGAAAGGTTTGTGGTAATTTTCAGCCATTTTTCGAGTCAATTTGGGAAGTTAAGGTGGTGCTGGTGATGAGATAGTTTGAGGTATTCTAAATCGAATTAGGTATTCTTCGAGGCAAGTTTGAAATAATTTAGACTACCTTCGAGGTAAGCTTGAGATATTTTTGAGACCAGCTGGAAAGAACCAATGTCGAGACAATTTTGATTCAGTTGAGAATAATTTTAAGAGAATTTTGAACCAGTCTAGAATTAATTTTAAAATAATTGTGAGCCAATCTAAAATTAAATTTCAGACAATTGTGAGTCAGTTTTATATTAAATTTAAGATACGTGTGAGTCAATTTAAAATTAAATTTAAGACACGTGTGAGTCAATCTAAAATTAAATTTAAGACACGTGTGAGTCAATCTAGAATTAATTTTAAGACAATTGTGAGTTAATCTAGGATTGATTTTAAGGCAATTGTGAGTCAATCTAGGATTAATTTTAAGGCAATTCTCATTCAATCTTGGATTAATTTTAAAAGAATTGTGAGTCAATCTAGAACTAATTTTAAAACAATTGTGAGTCAATTTAGAATTAATTTTAAGACAATTTTCAGGTAATCTAGGATTAATTTTAAGAGAATTGTGTGAAATTTTAAGGCAATTGTGAGTCAATCTAGGATTAATTTTAAGGCAATTCTCATTCAATCTTGAATTAATTTTAAAAGAATTGTGAGTCAATCTAGAACTAATTTTAAGACAATTTTCAGTTAATCTATGATTAATTTCAAAACAATTCTCAGTCAATCTAGGATTAATTTTAAGAGAATTGTGTGTCAATTTAAAATTAAATTTAAGACAATTGTGAGTCAATCTAGAATTAATTTTAAGAGAATTGTGTGTCAATTTAAAATTAAATTTAAAACAATTGTGAGTCAGTCTAGAATTAATTTTAAGACGAGTTTCAATCAATCTAGGATTAATTTAAGATAATTGTGCGCCAATGTAAAATTGATTTCGAGATAATTTGGATGCAAGCGAAAGCTAATTCTGACCCAATTTCGAATCAAATACGAAGGGAATTTGGGACGAATTTAAAATGCTTTGAGGCCACATGAATATAATTCCGAGGCAATTTTCGCGCGTTTGAGGTTCGAATAGCCTCGCAGTCGATTATCCGACGAATTACCGGAGTCGCGGAGTTTGCGGAACGCGTGGAAAATCGCGATACGTTTTTAGCGAGCCATTCGCGAACGCGATGTAAAAGTGTCTTCCATTTGCGGAATGGGAACCTGATTTACGGGCCACGTCGCGATAAATGCACTTTTGGCTATTACGCGAATCAATCAAGCCGCACAATGCGGCTGCAAGCGCGTTTCCGTACAATGAAACGCATTATCGACGATCGTTTCGTTTCACGTGACACCTGCAATTCCACCCGCGCCACTCAAAACACCCAATTCCCCTCTCGAACCTCGCGAATTTATTATCCCGAAGGAATCATCGGGATCGCGATTTCTCCCTCCGTTCCTCGCCGCCATTATCATCGGATCGAGACGATCCATCGATCACGCGAATTTCCCAGAAACGATCCAATTCTATCGTTCCACTGGTCAAATAAGAAATATCAACTGACAAAACTGTCTCTTTTCCAGGTGCATCTTGCCAAGGTTCGGCGGTTTTTCGTGTCTCCTAATCAACGATGCATTAAACGCTGATCGATAACGAAAGATGAATCGACGAATTTAAGAGATTTAAGGAAATAAATGTGTAAATTAGAAGATGAAATTGAGATGAGATAAAATAAATGTAGGATTGGGAAAATCAGTGCTGTCCGAGTCTGATGAGGTTTGATAAAATAATTAACTCGATTTTCAATTATCATCGATTTTCACCTGTTAACAGGTTGATTTTCAGACAGGTGTTAAGTTTACCCCGAGATTAATATTTAATGAGAGTTGTTTCAGTTTAGATACCAGTGGAGAGTAAATAAGTAATCAAGATGGAGATTTTTCACTTGGATCAGAAACGTCTTTGGTTATGGAGTCAATCTTGGCTGGAGCTTTCGCAAGCTTGAATAGACGTAATTCATTTTTTATATATTATACTAATTTTTGATATAAGCTGCAGAATCTTTAAATAATATCGTTGCGAAGTCCAAGATAATTGGCAGCTCGAAATTACCAATTGACACCTTACTATAAATAGGAAAATTAAAAAGAAACGAATTCTCACTGTCGATAGAAAAATTAAAAAATAAGACTGCCTTCGAAATGTGGAAAAGAATAAAATAGATTTGCTACAAACAGGAAATTACAAAATTTTGTCCATAAATACCAAAAAAGGGGTATTTTTCTTGTAAATGGTAAAACTGAACGAAGAAAGTTTTCTCTAAGAGAAAACAGAAAAATAGATTTTGCTACAAATAGGAAATTTAAACATTTTTTTACAAATAGCAAAATTGGAAAAAATAAAGCTATAAAAATATAAATAAGTTCTCGAATAACAAATATGAAATAACAGATATCGAATAACAAAGCTTTCTCTACGAATAAAATAAAAAAATATTTTACCGAAAATTTTAAACAGAAAGAAGGAAATTTAATTTCCCCGAAATAAAAACAGAAAGAAAAATAAAATTGATGCCACAGGTAGGATAATCAAGGAATAAAAGACTCCTATAATCAAGGGGTCCCATCAATGGACGGCACTGTCGGGTGACAAATAAAGAAAGAGCGAGAGACAGGAAACAGCACTCGCGCGAAAAGGAGCAAATGGTACAGGGCAACCAGAGAAGAAAGCCACAGTTAGAGGTGTGAAATGGATACAGACCGTTGTTCGAGGAGTCGTAGCGTCGCGACGGTGCCGTGGGCGTCGCCGCGTGGTTGTTGCCGATGTAGACGGCCGCTGGCGAGGACGGTGAAGCGCCAGTCTGGCTGTTCTGGCTGTTGCTGCTGCTACCACTGCTGCTACCGCTTCCTGCGCTGCCAGCTAGTCATGCAACCAACCAACCAAAAGACGAGCTACTGTCAGCCTCCGAACAGCTTCCTCCCGGTCGCTTCTGGTCGCTTTTTCGTACCGTCATGGTTCGATCGCTGCACTCTCGTGTTTGCCCAAGTTCCAAACATTATCCTCCAGAATGGATCTTTCTCACGGTCTCTGACGGTACCAATTTTGCAATTTACGAAAGGAACGGAACAGTTTACTTCTTCAGATTTGATACTAGACTTGCTGAAGAATCCGAAGTGACTTTTCTTTCAGGATTTGCATCGAGAAGCTAAGTTTGACGGTTCCTGATAATGCCAATTTTAATTTAATTCTTCAGACTTAGGTCTCTTTTGATGCTAACAACTGCTAAAGAAGTCGAAGTGACTTTTGGTTGAGAATTTTTATCGAAGAGCTAAAGCTTGACAGTTTTTAATAGCACCAATTTTAATTTAATTCTTCAAATTTAGGTCTTTTTTGGTATTAGAACTGTTAAAGAAGTCGAAGTGACTTTTTTTTCAGGATTTTTATCGAGAAGTTAAACTGGACGGTTTATGATAGCACCAATTTTAATTTAATTATGCAGATTGATGTCCCTTTTGATACTAGGACTGTTAAAGAAGTCGAAGTGACTTTTTGAGAATTTTTATCGAAGAGCTAAAGCTTGACAATTTTTGATAGCACCAATTTTAATTTAATTCTTCAAATTTAGATCTCTTTTGATACTAGAACTGTTAAAGAAGTCCAAGTGACTTTTCTTTCAGGATTTTTATCGAGAAGCTAAGTTTGACGGTGTCTGATAGCACCAATTCTAATTTAATTCTTCAAATTTAGGTCTCTTTTGATACTAGACCTGCTAAAGAAGTCGAAGTGACTTTTCTTTCAGGATTTTCATCGACAAGTTAAGCTTGACAGTTTTTGATAGCACCAATTTTAATTTAATTCTTCAAATTTAGGTCTCTTTTGATACTAGACCTGCTAAAGAAGTCGAAGTGACTTTTTTTTCAGGATTTTCATCGACAAGTTAAGCTTGACAGTTTTTGATAGCACCAATTTTAATTTAATTCTTCAAATTTAGGTCTCTTTTGATACTAGACCTGCTAAAGAAGTCGAAGTCGACTTTTGTCTGAAAATTTTTATTAAAGAGCTAAAGCTTGACAGTTTTTGATAGCACCAATTTTAATTTAATTCTTCAAATTTAGGTCTCTTTTGATATTAGAACTGCTAAAGAAGTCAAAGTCGACTTTTGTCTGAAAATTTTCATTAAAGAGCTAAAGCTTGACAGTTTTTCACAGCACCAACTTTAATTTATTCCTTCAAATTTAGGTCTTTTCTGACACTAGAACTGTTAATCGAATCGAACTGACTTTTCCTTGAGAATTTTCAAATTGGGAGTAACTGACAAAATTTTCGACCATCGTAGTTAATCAATCTACCCCTGTATAGACAAATCCCGTCACAAACGTGGCCTGATTTCATTCATCAAATGAAACATCCCGTACATCGTGGTCTTACGAGGTAAGAAACAGTACCGTTATTTCCAATATCACTATCGCTGTATCCAATTGAAAGAATAAAACTCGGAAGCTGCACCGTTAAATCGAATAAAAATTTTCTTTGCGCAGGAGAAATAGCACGTATCACCGAAGAGCGTTCTTTATCAGATGGCATAAACGCGATTGAACGGCAGAGCGAAGAATAGAAACCGGAGGAAGGAACTCCGAGCAAGGTATCTCCATATTCCATTACCATTCCTCCATTTCGTTCGCTTTCATCCCCCGGCGCGAGAAGGAGGGACTCTTCCGTTGGACTTGGACGAGAGTGCAGCGAGTGGTCGTGAGATAGAATACCAAAGAGGAAGGCGAGAGAGTAAAACAAGTAGGTGGAACGTAACAGAAGGGCGTAACGAGAAGTAACAAGAAAGAATCGTATCGGAAGCGAATTGGCAAAATGCAGGCGTTACGAGGTGCTCGCGGAACGAGCTTCGCGGTGATCGAGCAACGGGGGTGCCTGGCACCCCGGATCGCTCGATCGTTTCGTCTAGATCAGACAGTACTAGGTGAAGCGTGACGAGATTCGAACGAAAAGTCGGCGAAAAGGCAGCGAGGAGCCAAGGGCTGCCGCGGTTTTCCTTTGAATCTCGCGAGGGAAGAAGTTGATCGCTGGAGAAAAAAAGGGTGAGATCGTGATGTGCGAATATCGAATCGAACTGTGCTGTGTGACGTGCCATCGTGGGAATAATGGCGGACGAAAAGTCAAGACGCAAGAGGTGGAGAGCAAGCATCAACGGGGTTTGGTGATGGTCAAGATCTAAGGTCGCGAAGCGTGAGAGTACCCGGTATCGGCTTCTGCCAGCGACTGGCCGAAGTCAGGTAACAAAACTGTAGGAGAGAGAGAGAGAAAAAGAGAGAGAAAAAAGAAATCCAAGTCATGCTTCGACTCTAAGAGGGACTCACCGATTTCTGCCTAGCGAGTCGGTCTTCTGTCTTGTTTCTGCTTGGGAATCGTGTCTCGCCGTTCGAACGACTCACGAACTTACGATTATCGTCGAACTTTCGGGTCTAGGTCGTGGTTCTCTTGCAACGTGCTTGAAGGACCATTATATACGTAAAAAGCGAAGAGTTAAACAACCAAACTGTAAGAGTTAAGCTACCAAACCGTTTGATCCTCGGGAAATAGATGAAAAATTGCTGAAGAATTACCGAAAAATTGTAGAAAAATAACGAAGAAAAGAGATGACTCCATAGTCTTCCATTTGGTCCTTCAAGTATCGCAAAGGAACCAGCGAGAATGGCAGCCTTCGTTCGGACGAAGCTCGCTCGATTTCCCGAAGGCATCGACCCCGAGGAGCTTTCGATTCAGGCAGAAACGTTCGGATCGCGACAGAAAATCTTACCGATTCGTCGGGTAGGGCTCGTCGGTTGAATTTCGGTATCCTTGCCTCGTGCCTACCTCCCGTGTCCTGCGTCACGAGGCGCATTTCCGATAATAGCCGCAAAGGGGAGTCTGCAATTTCGCTCGGCGCAGGTCCCTGCCTGGGGCCGGTCGTAAAGAAACTTTTATTCGCCGATAAAAAAAAAAAAAAAAATGGGGGAAAAACGAAAGGGATGGTTCGTAATATCACGACGAGGCTTCGATTATTCTCGTCCCGTTCGCGTTCTTTTGTGCGCCGTATTTCGGACGCACGGCGTGCAGATGACGGAAAGAAAAAGGGGAAAAATGGGGTAAAACGACGACTTTCCTCGTCTTTATGCGATTCTCCTTTCGTCGCTCTTCGTTCGTCTTTTATTCCCCTCGTTCCCTTTTTATACTTCGTTTTTCTTTCATTTTCGGCGTTCTTTCATTCTGTTCCTTCGTTCATTCGGACGCGATTGCGAATTTGTTTTTGGAACGAGTCTCGATTGGACAGGACAGGCTTCGTAGAAATCGACGCGCGATTTTTCATCCATTTTTGCTCGTGTAAGGCTAATTTTCGATTAATCGGAGCTTCTTTAGATTCTTTGTGCATAGATGTAGAAATATTCGGACCTTTGGATCCGTATATCGGTATGTAGGTCTTTGCATCCTCGTTTCTCACCTCGAAGCGACGAAATTCGAGGCGATCGACGCTGGCGTAGGCGGAAGTGACAAAAACTTTCCCTCCACCGAGAGTCGGAAGGACGGTAGAAACGCAAGGGCTGCGCCATTTTGTTCCGGCCAGCGAGCCGGTGGCGCCATCTGCGTCGCGGTTAGCCCGTCGACCATGCCGCTCGTAAAACTGTCAGCAAACGGGCATTACACACTGCAGCAGGTATATTAACCCTCGAATTTTCACCTGCCAAGGTTTTCCAATCTTATTAGTCAGACTCCAAACTTGAATATTTGTCACTGGAATTTACAAAATTCCGTTTCTTTTCTATGAATATTTTACAAAATTTCTAGCAAACTGTGAGAAATTTTCCTACCTCGGAAGGGGTAGAATATATTAACAAATTATAAAGGGGACTGTACCCTGAATTTTGAACTATTCTGTATTTCCATATCTCTTAATCCCTCAAAAGAGAAAGGAAAGAGATAGAATAACAATAATAATAATAACGTTGTGGTACTATAATAACATACAGGATGGACCATTTAAATCCACATGTAGGGTCACATCAATTGCTCCTGTTATCAAGTTGATATTCCTTACCAATTAAAAAAAATTGTAGCTAACTGTTCTAACAAGCAAATGGTTAGGAAGAATCGAGAAAATTCACTCTGGAGAAATTGCAACAGAGAAAAATACAAAATTCATAGAAACCGTGTAAGAATGAGCCCATTTCGACACTCCTTACCGATTCTACCGTGCTTCCCTCTCGGATCACTCTCACCACCCGATTTACCTTGTGCTCCCTGTAGGAGTACCGCGGCTAATCCAAGGGGGTTTCCCTGAACCTGGTTCTGGGCTTGCTTGTTCGTCTGGCTCGCCGCCACTACCCTGGAGAACGCGGACACGGCGGCGGGACTGTTCGGAGGTGTGCCCTGGGAGGCGGGGCCTTTGTCGAAGAGTTGGAATTGCACCGATTAGAAACGTCGGCTAATTAGGAGGACTGTCGGCACCGGCCAGGTGTCCAAAACGCGACAGGGACTCCACAGAAACACCTCGCGGGACATTTAGCTAGACCGAGTCGCAATCGGGTCTATCGAGATTAGATCGGAAGGTTCGAGTTAGAAGACGGTGGATTAGCGCGAGTCTAAATTAGTCATATTCGGGGCCACGGAGGATTTTTCGAGCTATTCCGAGGTATTAAAATAGAATAGAAGCCAGAGCACGTTAGAAACCAAGTCGCATTCGAGGATTAATGTTAGAGCACGGTGAATCATTGGCGCCAGGAGTTAGCGGATTTGTGAGTTAGCTCGATGCCGAGCCGCACAGCCAGAAGAATGTTCGAATTTGGGTAAAGCTGGTGTTAGAGCAGAGTCGACGAAGCTTGTAAATCACTCGATGAAGAAGCGATTAGGTTAGATTGCGAGTTAGAGCAGTT